CCTCCGTCCCTCTTTCCCTCCCTCTCTCTTTCCCTCCCTCCCTCCCTTCCTCCCTCTTTCCCTCCGTCCCTCTTTCCCTCCCTCCCTCCCTCCCTCCATCCATCTCATCTAACAATATTTGTTAAGCACCTACTCTGTGCCAGGCACTGTTCTGGGCACCAAGCGTGCAGCAGCGTTCAGTGCCTTCATAGTCCTGACATTCTAGTGGGGAGAAGTAGGTACAAAAGTCAGTTCATAAACCAGAACTTTAGATAATGATTAAGAGAGATGGTAAAAATAAAAGAAGGTAATGTGGAAGACGGTGTCTGCTTTCGATGGGGTGGCTAGGGAAGGGCTCTGGGAGGAAGTGACCTATGTGCTGAGACCTGAAGGAGACAAGGGGTCACCTGAAGAGCCCAGGGGAAGGTGTTGTAGGTAGCAGGACTGGTGTGTGCAGAGGCCTTGAGGCAGGAGCAAGCTGGGCATCGTGCTGGAAGACCCGAAGGCACAGGAAGCACGGGGGAGAGGTTCAGGAGGCTGGGCCAGTGCAGGGCAACGTGGGGTTTGTTTTAACCGCAGTTGCCTTTCATGGCAGGACTTGGTTTGGGCTTTTGAAAAGTCCTGGCTGCCGAAAAGGAAATGGGCTTGTGCTCTGGGCAGGAGTGGAGGCCGGGAGGGCCGGGAGGAGGCTGCTTCTGTGCAGGTGGGCAGGGTGCTGGTGCGCAGACAGGACGGCCCTCCTCAGGACCCTCCCATTCCCTGTTCTCAGTACAGACCCCAAACTGCATATGATTTTTTTTGAGGCAGAGTCTCGCTCTGTCGCCCAGACTGGAGTGCAGTGGCGTGATCTCAGCTCACTGCAACCTCCACCTCCCAGTTCAAGCAATTCTCCTGCCTCAGCCTCCCAAGTAGCTGGGATTACAGGCATGTGCCACCATGCGCGGCTACTTTTTTTGTATTTTTAGTAGAGATGGGTTTCACCATGTTGGCCAGGCTGGTTTCTAACTTCCGAGCTCAACTGACCTGCCCGTCTCAGCCTCTCAAATGGCTAGGATTGCAGGCGGGAGCCATCGCGCCATTGCATATGGTTATTTACGTATTTGTTTCTCTAATACTGCCTGACTCCTCTATGGCACTATGAAGGTCCAGGAGGACAGAGACTTTGTCTCCTGCCCTGTCCCAAGTGTGGTTCCTGGCACATGGTAGGGACACTTAATATTTGTCAAATGAACGACTAATAAGATCCCCCCCCCCACCCCAATCTAGGTGGAAATAGTAATGACGCTGAGTAACAGGGATGACTACATATTGATGACAATAGGTCTGGGCTCGGTGGCTCTGGCCTGTAGTCCCAGCACATTGTGAGGCTGAGGTGGGCCGTTCACCTGAGGCTGGGAGTTTGAGACCAGCCTGAACAACACGGAGAAACCCTGTCTCTACTAAAAATACAAAATTAGCTGGGTGTGGTGGCACATGCCTGTAATCCCAGCTGCTCGGGAGGCTGAGGCAGGAGAGTCGCTTGAATCCGGGAGGTGGAGGTTGCAGGGAGCTGAGATTGCACTATTGCACTCCAGCCTGGGCAACAAGAGCGAAACTCCGTCTCAAATAATAATAATGACAGTGATAAACGTAGCAAGCCTGCGCTGAACGTGCTGTGTAGACCTGGGCCGGCCCTGCCCACCCTCTGCCCAGCTGCACCTCCTTTGGTGGTTTGCACGATGGGACTTTCACCAGATCTGGGAGGCCCTGTCACCTGGCAGGCCCTCAGCAAATGATGGGCTGATTTGCAGGCTGTGCTCCCTTTCAGGAAAGGATTTATCAGCCGGACTTGGGTCTGGGTGGGGCAGGTTTGGGTGAGGCCTCTCAGCTGTGGGAGTTAGAACTTCTGTGTAAGTTGAGGACTGAAGTTCAGGTTTCCAGCCTGACTTTTCCCGGCCTTGTGACCTTGGGCAGGTCCCACCCTCTCCATGAGCCTTCGTGTATGAAGTGATGATGGTGACAGGTAGCAATACTACCGTTTGTTAACCCCCAGCATGTGCCAGGTACTGTGTTAGGTCCTTTAGTTCTCATGGTGACACACTGGGAGGCAGGAACTATTCTTATTCTCATTTTCCAGATGAGGAAACTGAGGTTGAGGTAGCTTAAGTCATTAGCTCGCGGTCAGTCGGCTAGAGGTGGTGGAGCTGGGATTAGAACCCATGTAAAGCTAATGCATGAACTCAGTGTTTAAACTCCAAACTTCAGTCATTCTCCTATCACTGGGATTTTCTTTTCTTTTTTTTTTTTTTTTTTTTTTTTTT